CAAAATATGGAGGCCACTTAGGATAAAAGAAGTGTATGGGAGTGGTGAGTGTATGGGGTGATAAGAAGACTGTAAGTCTAGTGCCAACACCTTCACTGAACGAAGGTGACAGCAGTCAGCACAAACATTTGCATTCCAAATGACACAAGCTTCCATGCAGCAGTTCATTTGTGAATGAGGGCAGGTTTGCTAGTTGCCCCCTTTAAGACCCAGAATTTCTAAGCTCAGGGTGCATGTAGCACTACCTGGGCTGCAGTGAGTCTGGAGGAGTAAGAGGAACCAATGCAAATGTGAAGCTCCATCTGCCTGCTCTATCTCTGACCTGGGAGTCCTGTGTCTTCTGCCAGTGTCTGAGAAGCAGACTAATGTGCTAGCTTGCAAGCTGAGTAAAACCCCTTGACAGTTCGCAAGTTATTCTGATCTCAAATGTTGGGGATTAAGCAGACTTTCTCTTGGATGGCAGGGGAAGATCATTGCAGGCAGAGCAAGCAGGTCCTAGGGGGTAGAGGCAGACTGAGCAGGGCTTAGTTGAGGATTGTATTCTGCTTGTGTTCAGACACAGTAAGCTGACTACAATTAGGAAAAGAGAGGTGGACAGGACAGGGAGTGGGGAAGATAGTGATCAGACAGCCAGTTAGGAAGGTGTCATAGTCCAAGAAAAAGACTGTACCCCAGAGGCTGGGGTGGCGGTAGTTCAGGAGTGGAACATGTGTTGAGCATGCACAAAACAAAGTTCTGGGTTCAGTTCCCTGCACCAACAGAACAAAACAACTCCAAAAGTGCACACTAGAGAAGGAGCCTCTGAGGAATGTCCAAGGGCAGGGGAAATGATAGCTTTGGACAACTCAGGCAGAGATGACCTGGAGAAAAAATTTGTCCTGCACCTGAGAAAGGAGTCTGAGCTAGAGATGATGGTCTAGGAAACAGAATAGAAACCACAGTTTAAACCTTCAGTGAGTTCATTAACAGTAAAGGAGAATGGAGGAGTGACTATTCAGTTTCCATGAAGTCTGCCCAGAGGCTTAAGGAGGCCAAGGAGATAGGATTAACTAGTGAGGCGGGCCAGGTGTAAAGCAATATGTTCTGCACACTTTCTAACATGCATGTATTTTACCTTAAGAGGAGAGCCTTTGCTTTCTAGCTAAAGCATCTGTGTTCAGTGCCCTGTGGTTACTTGAAGTCCACTAACCATGTCCATTCATCAGTAGGGGAGAAGAACCAAAGAAGTGTCTCCCCCAAAGGTCAAGGTCAGTTGCTACCTGTTATGGTGACTTTCACCTCTGGATGCCCTCCTTTGATCTCACAGGGGTGTCTCACTGCAAGCCAGGTTCAAATAGGTCAGATCTTTGTATTTTTCTTCTTTCTTTTAAAAGCTAGGAATTTGGATTTTTATATTTAAACCGTTTAAAAATTGTACCAGGGGGCCGGGATTATGGCTCAGTGGTAGAGTGCTCATTTAGGGTTTGATCCTCAGCACCACATATAAATAAAATAAAGGTATTGTGTCCAACTACAACTAAAAAATAAATATTAAAAAAATGCACCAGCCAGATTCACCCCCTGGGCCAACATTTTACCGGGTCTGATTGAACTGGTCTATAGGAATCTGCTTATGCCATGGTTTTGTTGGATGGCTCCCTGGGAACTGTGTGGAGAGCCATACATTGCTACACAAACAGTAGGGTATTTGGGGGCTTGTGTCTGCCCCATCAAGCAGAAGTTCTGATCACTGTCCAAGCCCTGTTCTTTTATGCTGAGCTAAATAAACACAGTTTTGGACTAAAGAGCCGGAGCTGTCTGCTTCTCTTCCTTTCCTATTGTATGATGCTTCTGAATAAGCCATGGTCAGGAGAGGAGAGTTTTGGCATTTTTTGTAGATACATAACATGGACTTTGTGCATGGGCATGCACCATGATTGTGAGGTAATCAAGTTGGTCTTTTGGCCCTGAGAATGTCAGTGTTCTGTGTGCCCTTACCCTCCCCCTTGCATGCAGGGTGCCACCTCTGTTCTCTGCTCTCCTCACCTCTCAGAAGCAGTCATCAGGAAAGGCATTTGGGTCTAAATGGAATTCCAAGGAAAGTAAGATAACCCTCCCCTTCCATGCTCAAGTGAATGCTCAGATTTACAGTTGCTTGAAAAATCCAGAGAAAATGTTCTAGAATTCTACCAGCCAAGAGATGAAAAAGGTTCAGACCTTCTAAAATGCTACCTTCCCTTGATTTACACTCCAGGGACACTAAAAGAAGTTGGATGATATCAAGTTGAGGGTACTGTGAATTTTAAAAGGAAACTTAGTTGCCTGTTCTTACTGATCTGAAAGTGTTTTTCTCATGCTTTGGGCTCAAAACAAATTTTTAAGCTCTGTTTATTCAATCATTAAAAGTGTTTTGAACATCTGAAAATTTCCCAGCACTCTATAGAGCTGACAATTTATACCTCAAGGGCTCAAATAGACAATGGTTTTACATACTAAATTTTAGAATAATCTTCCAAAAAAGGAACTTATCTCCTGCAAAAGAGCTTTCCAATATGCTATAAACCAAACATCCCAAATTTTAATTTATACTTTCATAGATTGCCATCTCAGTATGCTGAACTAGTATATTGATTACTTTAAGCTGAAATTACTTGAGGAATTGTAACTTCAGAGGCCTGTACTTTCCTACATGCAACAAGTCATAAAGATTCCTTGGGGAGGGTTGTCCTTCACATACCAAAGCTGAAAATAAATTTGATTACCAGTGACTGATAATTCTGGCTGCAGTGATCTCAAATTCTGAAGTAACCCTTATCTTCCCCTCGCTTCTGTCTCCTTCCCCCATATCACTTAGTAACATCCCTAGAATTTCCTACCCCAGTCCAGATATCCATTTATCTTGAAATGACTTCACAAATAATTTTGTTCTTTTGTCTAAAACATATAAAAGATTAATATTTGGCTATTTCTTCATACTTCACTCTCTTGTGAAGATACCCATGTGCATGTAAAATTAATGCAATTTATGCTTTTTTCTTGTTTATCAGTTCATCTATTAATTGTGCTCCTAAATCTAGCCAAAGAGCCCACATAAGCACTAAGGAGGAAATAGAAGAAATCTCTCTCCTGCATCATGCAGTCATATTTTGCAATTGTCAAAAAAAATTTGGCAGTACTAGAGATTGCTAGGCAATCCATGCTAGGCAATTCCACTATCACTGAGCTATACTTCCAGTCTCTCCTTTTTTAAAAAAATTGAGACACGATCTTGGTAAGTTGTCCAATGTGGCCTAGAACTTGTGATCCTCCTACCTCAGTTTCCTGGGTATGCTGGTATTACTAGTGTGTGCCACCACACCTATCAGTTTTTTTAATGTAGCCCAATTTCATGATATTTTTGGAGTCCCATGCTGTAAATTATTTGTAAGGAAACAAAACAAATACACAACAAACAAAAAATGGTAAAAACATAAAGGTGAGGGTGTGCTTATGTCTTCATACCTTAAAAAAAAAGTATTGGAATGCATAGAGTAGCTCTAGAACTTATCCTCAGGACAAAGTTTAAGTTAAAATAAATTCATATTGATATATATAAATTAGCACAAAAATGGTTAAGCAATTCCTTTTACTGTAACCTCTTTCTGGATGAAAGAATTAAATGTGGTTACTACTGTCCACTTAGAGGAAGTGGTATGGTATGGAGGACGTCAAAGCTCTTGAAATATTGAAGTACTGTCAGCATTTGCTTTTCACAATAGAGGTTTGCAAACTTTTTTTTTTTTAATAGAAAAGACAATTTAGTAGACATTTTAAGATGTTCCTCTTTCTCCCATGGGTGCCGCAGTCTTGGCTGGGCATAGAATCACGAGCTACCACACACCTTGTAGATTCAAACAGCAATTCTTTATTCCCGAACTCACACCGGCCTCTACACACGTTCTGGGGAAATTCCAGTTCTGCCGCACAATTCATGTCCCAAAATACTTTCTGAATTCCATGAGAACTCAACAGGAACTCAGGCAGCAGGAACGCCCTATTCCCAGCAGCAATAACCTTAAACCTGGAACTTCCCTAAAACCCAGATTGTCTTAAACCGGGAACGCCTTAAACCCAAATTATCCTAAACCGGGATACTTCCTAAAACCTGCAGGATACACCTTAAACCTGGATCCACCCTGGTCCTTGAGCAGGGTCACCTTTCTCAAAGACACATGCAATGTCACAGCAAATTTCCAAGGCAAGTCCATTTAACATGGGGTACGCTGGCAAGGAAATTTCGATGCGTCATTCCTACTTGGCAATGGCCCTCAGCAGGTTTTATGTATGTATAGAATTTATGCAGGCATCATTTTTGTAAAGCCATTGGCTTCTCTAAATTGAATTCGTGAGAGCACAAACCATTAAGATAAGGAAGGCCTGAGGTCTCCTCGATGTGAAGTTTAGAGACTCTTCACTCTAAAACACTCTAAAGAACATTTTAAAGCTATTTTTCTCTCGTGTGGGAGAAGCTAGGTAACCTATATTGTCATTGAAATAGAATAGTGTTTTATGTTTGTGTATGAAAATGGAATTGCTTTAGAGTATCCATAATTAGCAATTTCTATTAGCATGTTTTCTTCCCTACAAAAATGTTGTATATCAAAGAATATTCAGAATGTGAAGTTATATGGAATAAACTCGAATTTGTGCTATAACCCTTTTATATTGCTTTTCCAATCCAATTATGAAACAGGTAAAAGGATATCTTTTTACTATACTTTTTTTTTAAAAAAGGCAGTTTAGTGATTGACCTAATTTAGTCTCCTATAAAGAAAACAAAAACCAAACAGACATTAAGTTCAGTATTTCAAAAATAATCCAAAAATATTGAAAAATGGCTTGCCATGGGCCACTGAAATACAGCATATCATGGTTAACCTGAATAGTTTTCTTCCTGGTTCATAGGTCACTTCAAAGTAACAGCTAAACATGGTTGGGGAAATCTTGATGTTCCAGAATAAACACAGTAATTCACACCATAATTTACTTTACACTTTACAAACTTTATTAAATAGTGGGCATTACTAACTTTCATTATCTTATATACAGTATTTAAACTATGTTTTCCTAGATGCATTCCCCCCCCCCCAAAAAAAAAGAATAGAGTAGGTGAAAAGTAAACTTATAAAAAAATTGACCCTTCCATACAGGAACCTAATAAGAACCTTTAAGTACAGATAACATTTTCCTCCCAGTTATATACATCCCCACCCACCTCCAAAACAAACTACAAAAGCACTTAATTGATAATTTTTGGGAAACAGACCAATATGACTATGTATTTACACATAGCTGACAAAATCATCATTCTGGCCCACGGGAGTGATCTATAGAACTACAGATTTGTCTTAGAATCCAAAGGACCACATAGACACGTCGTACAGTGAAACATCCACCTTCACGCAGTAGAGTGTGTTCGTATAGGTGACTTATCAAAGCTGTGCAACGAGACACTGGATGAACAATGAATAATTCTGAGACTTAGGCACAATAGTACTATGGACCTTGGAGAATTTGGTTCATATAGACAAAAGCACAAAAATGGAAGAGTCAGGTAACTTTGTGTTTTGCTTTTTTAAAAAATAGGTGATATAAATGCACTATACCTCTAGGAAGTCTAAGAAAATACTTTCTTCAGTGCTTGTCTTTTGGATGCTGCTTAATCTTGAAAACTCACATCAGGTTTAAATAAAATCAATCAAAGAAGGAATGTTTCCAGAATCATACTGTTTAATATGGACTTTCCCTCCACCTTTGGCAGGGCTGGGGATCAATCTCAGAGCCTCATGCATGCTGGAAGCCTGCCACAGAGCCACACCCCACCCCTGGACTTCACTTTATGAGCTACAAGAAGACAAAATGCTTGAAGAACAAAAGACCTGGTGTTTTGTTGTTGTTGTTATTTAAAGTGGAAAAAATGCCCTAGGTACCTATTTATAAAATGAGGATGTTTACATTTTATGTTTTAAGTTAACAGAGATAGGACTTAAAAAGAGGAAAAGAGTTATGGGAAGATGTCACTGATTTAATTAGTTCTTTCCTTCAAGTGCAAAGGCCACATACACATATATCAGTGTATCTTTTAAAATGGGAATGACTGGCTTTTAATTAAAATAAAGAGAAAATAAAATTATAAAGGAAACAGAGGGTGAAGAAAGGCCACAGAATGTATAACTGCTGAAATTGAGAATACAAAGGTTACTGCGAGGAAATATTCTCATTGCATTCATGCAATCAAGAAAATAGAATATTTTTATAAAGTACCAATAAATCGGCCTTCATTTATCTCAACCTTCTTTGATTTTGCTTTTTATTTACAATGTGATACTTTTGGTGTTCTGTTTCTTCCATAAGGAGTTGAATTTGTATTTAATATCATAATGAAATGCTTCATAAAGTACAATTATAGCATAAAAGATGTTATTATCCAGAACCCAGTAACCAAAGACTATTCTTTCATATGCCATGAAATAATGGAAACCTGTTATGTACTGTTTAGAATATAAGTTCTTGCCCTTTCCTTTAGCAATTGACTCCTTGGGGTAGGATCTAGCAGGTCACTGGCAGAGTAAAAACTCAAGAAGGTGCCTATGGAACAATGCTCTGGAAGGGTGATTTTAACGTGCTTTGTCTGATTTTTAGCTTATGGTTTATTTCTCCCTAATTAGAGTTAGGCACACACAATGGTATCATAGGATTTTTTTTGGTCAAACTGTCCCCACTTCAACTGTAATATGAATGGATAACCAAGTTGTTCCCCCTGAGTCTTTCCATCTTTCTAACAGTAAGTTAGTTTGCGCTTTAGTGAATTCGTTTTCTTTAAGCCACGAAGGAAATCGTTCATTTCATCCCAGAAATCGTATCAGTAACATGATCAGCAGCACATTCATCAGGACTTGTCCAGGAATACAGGTAAAGGCTTTTACTTACAGTGAATTGGTCCTTCTACATTTGAGTTTTCAATGGTCACACAATTTCTGAGTCGAAATGAAATGACACAGGAATGCCAGCATGGAAATCCTAAAATAGGCATCACGACTGGGTTCTAACTAGAGATCTCTGGCGTAAGTTATTCCAGGGTCTCATCGCAACTGTAACAAAATGTCAGCTACAAGCATAATTCTTTAAAACAGCCTGATAGTTCCTTTCTTTCAAAATATGAAAAAGTCTCCTTGCTGCCTTTGTGTTGTAGGTTTTGAGAGGGTTACTGCATTTCTTAAAGTGTGGGCACTGTTGTCAGGATATGGAAAAAATATGTTACCCAAAAAGCCTAAAAAATTTCAAGTAAGATTGACTTACATGAAAGTGAAGACAGTCAGCATCTGAGAAGAAGATATTATTCAGTGCTGACACTCACTAAAGTATAATCCTGGCTGTAGGGTCAGCCGGCTCAAAAAGTTGTGCTGTAAAAGAAAGTATATTTTACACCTCTGGTTATTACAAAATTGTTTTAATCCGATACATACAAAACCTATCAGTATCTGTGATGGATGAGTGTAAGAGGAAGTTAATTCAGGCAGCTATTACTGAGAAGCCTTAGGCAAAGCTACTTGAACTAAGACACTGAAATTTTTCCCTTAGAGACTGGACAATGTTTTGTTGATTGGGAGACGGCCCCCTCCAAAGGTATGCATTCAGTTTGTCAGAATCGCTATATGCTGTCAGATACGGTGAAAGCCCAAGTTTGCTGTTTATGGGCTCTTTTGGAGTGCATGGACTATTCAAGGAGTAAGGTGGGTTGTTGCTGCAGACGTTATCAGAGAAGTCAGCATCCGCCATCTTGGAGTCAGATTTCCTTCTGCGACTCTGCAGTAGCTCCAGCTCCACCTCGTCTTCTTCAGACTTTATTTCCACATAGTCATCTTCATCTTCAGTCTCTTTGAAATTGGAAAAATAATTCTGTGTGGCTAGGTGGGCGTTTAAAGGTAAATTTCTATTTACTACCAGAACTTTCTGTGAGTCTTGGAGTGTGAGGTCAGAGCATGTATCAGCATCCTGCTGACATGAATCAGCTGTACCTGGCAGCAAATCCTGGTGGCTCTCACACCGTGCACTTTGGTGTAAGGACAGCAGCTGTTTCTTTCCCATCTCGCTGGGGTAATTGATGGAGTCCATTGATTTGTTTATCAAGATGGAGGAAGAAGACTGGGACCTGTTGTAAGGCTGGGATTTAGCACTGATTCCTTTCCGACCCAGCGAGTTGTAAAGATGGCCCTGACATGAGTTCTCTTTGTGGGGCTGACTTACTACCACACTGCATCTCTGCATGGAGCCCAGGAGAGGGTCAGAGATTTGAAGAGAAGGCACAGAGCAAGCTGCAGACAACTGTCTTGGGGTACTTTTGGTACCAATATCTAAAGTGGGATACTTTGACCTCAAGTCTTGCTGTGGCCGGGGACAGAAATCTGCTAACTCTCCGTTACTATAAGTTGAATGCAAGAGCCAATCCTCGCCACCATGTTGGCCCTGGGAAGGTGAGGCAGCCCTGAGGAGGGACGGTTCCTGTGTGCTGGCCCAGCCATCCTTCTGAATTTTAAGGGGCGTCTCCCTGAAGACAATCTGGTCATACAGTTGGGAATACTCGGCAATCCTGGCACCTGGAAGGCAAATATGGAAACAATAAGTATACCTGGGATTGTTCCTACATAGAAAGATTAAATATAAAAACATAATGTTCTAACCAACATATTAAAACAAAACTTAAATAGTAAGTAGGACTTTGAAGTTTGAGGATCAGTGATCACTGAACACAAAGCAACACAAACTAAAACTCAGTTTAAGAAAGCTAGAAATGCCACCACAAAGTTCATTTAATTTGACCTCCTTTTGTATTTTTTTTTTTATTTTAACAGCAGGTCTGCAAGTGTCCACTCTATGTAATGAAAATACCTAGTGTTCCTTTTAAGCTCGAAACAGTGTCAGTGTTGAAAACAGGCATTGTAAAAATAACAATGCCAGCACTTAAGCGCTGGTTAATAAAAAATAAGCAGCCACTCAAAGAAGTATGACCACAATGCCCAGTGCAGTGGTCACCCCTGGCTTCTCCCCACCATGCCCCTGGAAGAGTCTGCTCCTGCAGTGGTTCCTGCAATTCTAGTTTCCAGACAGTCCTTCACGGCCACTGTCTGGGGAGTTGATGTCTAGGGGAAGCCTTCCCCTCTGTATTTCCAAAGCATGAGAACTGACTCCCATCTCCTTTCCCAACCCAAGAAGCCAGGCAATGAAGCCATTAAGAATGAACCACCTGCTGGGGCTGCAGCTTAGTGGCAGAGCCCTTGCCTAGCATGTGTGAGGCACTGCATTCAATCCTCAGCATCACATAAAAATAAATAAATAAAGGCATTCTGTCCATCTGCAACTACACAAAAATAAACAAAAGAATGAACCAACTGTGCATGTACATATGCAATACTCTAATGCTTTCTAGTGCTGGCTCAAGGATAGGACTAGACAGTTACTCCACAAAAATATAAGCTGTGAGGATGGCAGCCCCTTTTCCCCACTTCGGAGACAGACATTTATAAAGATACCAGCTGAACTACGATACAGAGAGCATTCTCTTGGGCCAGCAATGACTGAAGGCAGGGAGCCCAGAGATGTCAATTTCAAGAGTTGTTCTTCTCTCCAATCCAAGCACCCTAGAACCGAAGAACACCATGCATCCTATAAGTTTCTCAGACCACATAAACACAATCTTTAAGAGGACATTGACCTTGTCCACAACAACAGGCAAATGACATTATGCTTTCTTCTTCTCCTTTAAACTATATTTTTAATAAACTGTTATTTGTAAATTATCTTTTGAATTTCAGCTAAATAACTCATTCAGTTTAATTTCTGCCATTTCTTTCTTTTTTATTTCTGCAGTGCTAGGGACTAGACCCTGGGCTGCATGCATGCTCTACCATGAGGCGCATCCCCAGCACTGCCACCTCCTTTGAATCCATCTTCTTTGAGGATAGACACAATCACCCCCTGCTCCCTGCAATCAAGGGAAATGGTCTAACTTCTCATCTCTGAGCCCATCTTCAGATTCTTTGGGTTTTCAACTCCAAATTCCTTAGAAGAATAGAGAATATTAGTCTAGAAATTTCTAATAACAAAACCATGGGAAATTCCTCCTGAAATAGCATAGTAAAAATTCTTAATAACCAATTAAGATTTAGCAACACCTTAAGAGAAATCGTGTGGAAAGTCTACTTGGACAGCAATATACTTTATGTCAGCCATCCTGAGACCTGTGTGTTTCATTAAGACCCGCTCAGAGGCATCCAGACCTGCATCTGACAGTCAGATGGTGCAGCCCAAGGCTTTCTACTGCACGCTACAGCCTGAACTTGATCCTGCTGAGTCAGGAAGCCTTTACAAGTTTCATGAAGATGACAATTTGGGGGGAAAATAGAACTCATTAAGGATTCAAATTATTTTAGTATTAGAATTTAAACACAAAGTCTTATAAGAACAATCAGCTTGTGCCTTTTGCCTAGCTATCTAAAAATATGCATTGTCCAGAATGTTTCTCATCATCCATAGTATTTCTCAGGTCTGCCTCTCATATTCTCCTTTTCCCAAGGAAAATTCTACACAAGGCTCAAGATCCTCCCTAAGCCCGATTCTTCCCTGAATCCTTATCCAATGATTTCTCCTCTTTGAAGTCTTCTATGTGTACATATATACACTTGGAGACTTTCACACAGTATTGTATTGCTAATTGTTCTTATAGGTTGGTTTATTCCTCTAGATAATGTATGAGCTTTTTGATCTTGGAGGACAAGATTGTACCAAGTGCTCCTCTCCCTATAGAGCACCAACAGAGACTGGTTTCAATAACAACTTTACTCCCCAGAGAATATTTTTACTGCCTCCTTTTATTTTAAAGCAAAGGGTTTAAGAATGGATGAGCTTTTCCTGAGACCAAGCACTCAAGTGGAAAGACAGCCTGGAAACCAGGTCACAGCAGGAAAAGGGGAGGCAGGAAGATGGCCTTGGATTAAAATACTTCTTATACTACACTCAGAATGGGCATAGTTTATCTTTGAGTAATGAAGAGCTGACCATTTATCACTTTCAAATAAAAACATCTCAGATCTCACTAGTACACAATACATTGTGCTTATCTACTTTTTTTTTTTTTTAAATCTCAACTTGATAAGAGAGTCTGTAACCTACACAAGGTGCCAGTGTGAAAGAGAGAGGGAGGTTTCTAGAGCATCCCTGTGCTGGAACAGACCCTGACAGTCAGCTGAAGAGGCTTGTCCAGCCCCAAGAACTCAGCCCTTGCCAGGAGGGACCAGACTCCCCATATTCTTATTTCTGGCATTGTCTTCTTAGGAGTTGATCATTAACATTACACGACCTCTGAGGGCTGCCTCTGATGTGTATCCTTTTCTGAAGGTTTGAAAGTTACAGTTCTTAGGATTCCAGATAAACATCTGAAGCAATACCTGCCAAGATTTCCCTCAAAAGAGTGTTTCCAATGTAGGATTAAAATCCATGTTTCTCACGTTGCCTGAGATTTAAACAAAAGCATAAAATTGTGCCTTCCCTAGATTCTCCAAGGAGGAAAGTTCCTCAAGCCTGTATGGAATTTTCTACCATGTGAAATATCACCAAAAAACAAGAAACAAAAAACCCCAGAGGCCTCCGTTGTCTCAAAGACTACCAGGAGGAAGTCTGACTGAACCGAGGGCCAGCATGCTACAACAGGCTCTAAAATGTGGGAGCGACTAGACCTGGTTGGGTGATTTATAGGCGGAAATCTGACCCCCGGGGCCTGTAGACCCCGGGCAGAGCGTTCAATAAAGATGCTGGAGAGTTTCAGCAGGTGAATAGGGCGCTCCTCCTTCCGCACAACACCGAGAGCAAGCTCCTGGCAAAGTGGCAAGGCCCACGCGCAGAAGTCTGGAGAATCGGTCCATTCGATTACGACGTCCTGTGCCCAGATAAACAAGAGAGAGAAAAGGAGTCATCATGTCAACTGATGGAACGCCTCGTGGGCACAGGAGGTGATCTCCATCACCCAGGTGGAAGGAGGCGTGGATCTAATTCACCAGGTCTGAGAGATGGCAGGCCCTAGGGACGTGCACCTGCCCGACAGCAGGGGAAGACAGCACTCGTGAACGATGCCCTGGGAGAGATCTTCTCTTTGTCGGGGAGGATGTCGGTAGTAGCCTACCATGTTAAGACAAGACCCGGATGCAAAGCTCAGGAAAGATCCTGGGGTATCCCAAGAAGACAACAGGAAGCAAACCAACAGGAGAACAAACTAAGTGAAAAGAAGCCAAAGAAAAACCCATCTGAAATAAATTCATACTTAAAAAGTAGGTTAAAAAGAAGACATTCAAGGCAGCTGCAAGTCCTGATCATTTAGAACAGAGGGGCTTGCTTCAATCAAGATAGAGGTTTGCATCGTTGTGGATGGACATACTCTTAAGTAACCTGGTCCAGGCTATTACTACAGTTTCAGCAACAGTGCACTGGTATAATCCATTGTCACTGGGAATCTTAGCATTAAATCAGTCAGTGGCTGCAATTGCCAAGACACAACTATTTCTAAGGCCATCTGAGTCTCCCCAAGAGTGTCCTTCTGCCGCTAGACTTGCTGCTTTCTTCAAGTATAACAATATACCAGCTTGGTGACACTAGCATTGGAAAAGGGACATAAATTACCATTAGCACATTATTACAAGGAGAAAAATATTTGCAATTTGATCTCTCTCCTATTCCTACAAAAATCACTTTTCATCATTTTTATTAAAAAGAAGAAGGACTCAAAGAGCCTGTAAAATCCTTCCGCTATCAATTGCAAGCCTTCACTGCTCTATCTATGGTAGGAAATTTTACTGAAGATTAAAGTTTTGGACAATTCTTAAATACTTACGAACTTAAAAAATCCCTTCGGATTCTCATTATGTAACTTGTGACTTCACTGAGGATTTTGATATCCCATTTCTGCCTCTGGTTTCCATGGAGATAGGTCAGTTCTAAAGAAGGCAGTTAGTGACACCAACATGTCTAGTTAGTGGCCCTGTGTGTCCAAACATGCTGTGTCACCATGAAACTGGTTAGCTGAACCTGCTGAAACTGAGCCACCTGATTTCTGCCTCTAATTGGAGAAGTGACCCCACTTTTTTCATTTGGAGGTGCTCCTTTATCAGAAAATCTAAGGGCAGGATTTCTTAACACCGGATGGAAGGGCCACCCTGTTTTAAAATTCAGATTCCCAGGCCTACCCCCAGAAATCTCTGTGCATCTGGAGGTTATAGCTCCTGAGATAAGAATCCTTGCCTTGGGCTCTTCCTTCAAGACCATCATGTGCTTTATTCACACCTGAGTTCTTTCTTTGAGATAAGTATTACATTCTGTCCTTCAAAGTAGTCCAGCCATGAACCTCCCATTCCTGTGCCCTCAGTCTCTCCAACACCACAAGTATGATCCTGGCTTAGTAACACTCCACAAAGCAGACCTAACTACAGAATTAAACTTCTTGCAGGCATCAATCAGAATACTGAATGAGACGGTTTAAATGCACGAGAGCAGCTATTTTCAAAAACTGAGTAGTAGCCAAAATAGGCAAGAGAACAACTAAGTTATCGTGTGGACAGCTAAGAAAAGTGCAAAGAGAATTCTTTTTTGTCTTGATTACCCAGAGTGGGCACTTCATAATAGGGTTCCAAAGCAAAGAACAATCACATTCTATATACATTCAAAACCTAAAAGCTTTTCCAAGCTACTCCTTCTCCTTAGATGATACTGATATACGGTAAAGTTCTAGGCTCCACAAGTTAAAACTGTTTGCATGCCCACTCCCATACCTTTTTTTAAAAATGGCAATCTTGTAGTGATAATGTGGCTTGGACACTCAAACCCTCTGAGGCCAAATCATGCACCATCCTGTGTAACTGAGCAGAGGTGCAGTGGGAAAGGCTAGCAGTGTCTTTGTGGTCCATGAGGTAGGAATGCTTGAGTGACAAGTGTTTTCACGGGTGCATCTACTAAGGACCCTGAGAATTCGAAGCCTGCTCTTGCACCCACTTTCAAGAAGGAAGAAAAGTGGAGTGAACGTACCAATAGCAGGCCCACCCTGCTTCTTCTCCTCCAGGATGGCTGCCAGGTCTTTGTGGGTGGGTTTATGCTGACTGGCTGGCGGCTGCTCCAACTCCGGACTTCTCACTTTTAAAAGCTGATTTGCCTTCTTGATCTTCTGGCTGTACTGCCTCGCCATCATAAAGACCCTGCTTTTTGTCTTATCTGTGGTATCCATCCCAGGATCAGGGGTTTCGGGGTCTGTCTGGGGCAGGCTGCTGTTGGCCGAGTCGTAGGGGCTGTCCACCGGGGGCATTTCGCTGGCCAAGGAGAGTCGGTTAAGACTCACAAAGGAGCCTTCTGTAGAAATCAGGTCTTCTTCAAGCGGGTAGTTGGCCCGGCTAGCTCTGACGGCCCTGCTTTTCAGAGGTGTGAGGAAAGCCTGGCTCTCAGGGAGGGACAGTGTGGATGTGGAGTGACCGGCGTCTCTGTGCAGTTCTGGGGTGCTCTCAGCATGCAGCCTGTCTTGGACATCATCTTTACTTACAGGAAATGCTGCCAGGAGACGGTCTCTAGCTTTGTCTTCATTTTTCTTGATGTAATTTTCCAAGTCATTCCAGATTTCATCTACCTCTTCAGACAGTTTATCAGACAGAGCCTTATCTGCTACAGACAAGTTGCAGTTGGAGGAGTTGTACAGCAAACTCAAATAGTCATTGTCGGGGGGCCCCTGGTGGTAAGGCGCATCATCCTCGCTGAACTGGAGGCTATCTTGGGAAACAAATGGCCTCAGGCTGTCACAACATGCAAAGTCAGCTTCCAGACCCAAAAAGGTGCTCCTCTTGGGCCGCTTAAGGCTGTTGCTTTTGAAATCTGGAGGCGGTGGGTCCGGGAGCCCGATAGTGTCATAAATGTTTTCCTCTACCACCTGGAGCTCCTGAGTACTTTGATGAGATGCCTCTTGACTGGTGAGCACGCCACTTCTTTTGGTGTGTAGGGAACTGGTACTAGGGCCAGTCTGCCTCTTTGAGAAGGCTAACTCTGGGGTGCTCTTGGGACGAACGGAGTCCTTGGCCGATTTGGAGGGAGTGAATTCAGCTTCTTCCCGTTTAGCAACCATTAATTTCAAGTCCTCGTAACTTATGTTATCATAGACATGGTCGATATCATCAATTGTCAACTCTATAGATGACCCAAAGGGACTCATCCCTTCCTGCCCTTCTCTTTGAGGGCCGTTCTGCAGTTCCCTTCGGGGACTATACTGAGAGCCACTGCTGTCCCTCCTTCTTATTTCAGTCGGGCACGTGTTGCTCTCACCGGCACTGCTGGCCCTCCGGACAATCCTGTGGCCAGAGCTGGAGACCTCTGAGAACTCCATCTGTCCCATATGCCAGCTGCAAGGGCGACTTGAATTGCTCTCTTCACACAGTCGGGCCGAGTTCAAGTTGGAGGAAGAAAAGGATGGCACGAACATCTGGTAATCATCTTCATCATCCTCGTGCTCCTGGGGGGACCGGCGGCTGGGAAACAAGGCCTGCCTGATCTGGTGGTCCGTCCAGATGTTTCTGATGGTGCTACCCCCACGAAGCACGCTGCTCACAGCAGAACTGCCTGGCTGGCTGTTCCTCTGGGCAGGAGAAGGCCCTGCCGAAGTCCGCTGGGGAGAGTCTTCCTCTCTAGAAACCTGAGGAGGACAGAGACACATCAATGGGTTTCCGTGCCCCAGAGAAGACACCTAAGGAATTTCTCCTGTCCTTACACGTTGCCTCTGCCACTAGCCTGAAAGATTCAGAAAGATTCAGAAAGAAAATAATGGTAGGTGTTGCTGATTTTAATGGAGTTGAAATCACTTCAGATTTTTAGAAAAGGGGCAGAATGGACAGGAGTTTTATTTATTGAGAAAGCAAGTTATGGGCAATTTGCAGACATCCTCCAAACTCAGATTTCACAATCCTTCTGTGAATTAGATATGATTATTCCAGTATCCATAGGAAATCCTAGGGTCCTAAAGATTCTGTAACTTGTTCTTCTGAGTCAGTAGCAAAGGCTAGGACTCAAAACTGGTTCGACTCCAAACCCTGCCCTAAACCAGGAGATCAGCTAACTATGGAAGACCCTTAGATACTAAATAAGTCTATTATGCACATGGCAAAAATTCACCATATAATGGATATACAGAGGTGTCAAGGGCAAGGATATCTGAAACTTTCTCAGGAAGGCTAATTCCAGCACTTGACTACAAGGAATTGGATCATGGTTTCTGGTATATCAGAAGCCCCTGTTGGTGACCTGGTGACCCACTCCAAGGGTTTCTTGACCACCACAAACCTGACCAGTACCATCTTGGTTTATAGATTCTATGTAAAAAGAATTTGTTCTTGGAATATAATTTCATCCACTGTTAAGTTAATGGTATTTTAAAATTTTTTTTCAAAATATATTTATTCAAAATATATTTATTTTGAATATATTTTGTTCAAATATATTAATTAAATGTTACTCAGAAGTAAAATATGAATGATATTAATGATATCTAAGAAAAGAAAACAAGGGAGTGTTCTATAACTTGGGAGCTTTCTTGACGGAGCTCAACTTGTCCCTAATTCTTGGTGTGTAGAGAACCTGTACTATGGCCAGCTAACTCTGGGATGCTCAATTCTGCAGGCAGCAGTGGATTAGCCTCTGAGGCTATCTTGCAGGTAGAAGGGTCAGTTTCAAAGAGTTGAAAGGGTTAAGACATTTTCAGACTGATGCATACCAGGGACACACTTTCTGATGGAAGCACTACAGTAACCTATCGGAAGTTGAATTAGCAAGAGCTTTCATGACATGTCAGTCTGTCTACCAGAAAAGGAAGAGTAGAGAGGACAAAAATAAAATTTCATCCTAAATGTTATTCTTCTAGCACAACTTCAAAACGTAAAATAGTTAATCCTTTATTTTTTCACACATATAAATATATATATTTGTATGCAATAAATTTATTGTTTTTATGTATCTATTCCCCCATGTTTTAGTGTTTCTTCCTTTAGACTGCACTTGGATAATATTTATAAAATAGAGGTACCTAGTAATTTACTTTCTATAAATTAAATGAGTTAATATTTGCTAAATTACGGGAAAACATTTTGATAGTGTAAAGAAACAATTTTGTGGTTTTTTTCTCAAAATACCAAAAGTAATCCTTCTTATGATCTTTTATCCCAGGAAACTTGCAGATGTTTTGGAAAACTAGGAAATCCAGAATATAAGTATTGGAATATACTTTTACACTAATTACCCTTGAAGGTAGCCATACTTTGTAAGGTAAAAATTGACATCCAATAAATCATTAGAAGAATTGACAAAGAGCTAAACTTCGATTAGGAACTCATCAATAGGAGTTAGGGCTATGGCTCCGTGGTAGAGCACTTGCCTAGCATGTGTGAGGCCCTGGGTTCCGTCCTCACTACCACATTAAAAAATAAATAAATAAAATAAAGGCATTAAAAAAGAACTCATCAATATATTTAAATATAATTTAAATAAGCATGTAATTTAAATACCTCAATTTAAATGAGATCCAAAGAGAACTTTTTTTTGTGTGTGTGTGTGCTTTTCCATATTCTCAGCATTATGGGTATTTAATAACTTGATAATAGCTATCATTTATGGAATACTGCTTTTTGCCAAATAATGCATTAAGTGATTTTAAAAACATATTGTCATATTAAATCTTTATAATAGTTCTGTAAATTAGGGCACTTAAGTTCTGAGAAAGTTACTGGACTGGACTGTAGTCATGCAGTTTATAGATGGCAGAAATGGATTACCATACACATCTCCACCACAGCCAACGTATGGGCTTAACCACTCTAGGCACATTCACGCACAGAGCCTCAGAATATACCTTTATATTCTGGTAGAAATATTATTATTAAGGGGTATTTTCTATTATAAGCTGTTTGATCATGGCTAAATCTGCTCTCGTGTTTGATGGACATTCAGGCCATTATTGTTAGGAGATGGAATTTTGCCACTGAGAAAGCACCCTGGTGTTTTCTCTCTTTCTTGTCTTCTGATTTTATGAGATTCAGTTAGTTCCCATCGGACTTGGCTTGAACTCTGTCATAAGAAGTTTCCAAGAGGCTCTTAGATTGATCTCTAGAATTAGTATGGAGAGGGACTTGGCTCCATGATCTTACTTTAGTTGCTTTAAGGAGCAGGGTAACTTCTGCAATGACCCTTATGAAAACAAAGATTAGAAGATCAAAATTTTGCTGGGCATGGTGGTGCATGCCTGTAATCCCATTAACTATGTAGGCTGAGGCAGGAGGATCGCAAGTTCAAAGCCAGCTTCAGCAACGTAGTGAGGCCCTAAGCAACTTAGTGAGACACTGTCTCAAAATAAAAAAAGTAAAACTGTGAGGGATGTGGTTCGGTGGTAGAGTGCCCCTGGGTTCAATCCCTGCTTAAAATAATTTTTTTTCATGCCATATTTCAGGAGAAATATCAACAAGTTTAAAAAGCTTCTGAACAACAATATGTATGACCTGAGAAATATGCACATGCCCTAAGACTTAAAAATCACTTAAATATAAGGCTATTTTGGTTGTTAGACATTTTATTGGTTTTAACTAAAAGATAAGCCTTTATTCACATGGTCCTTTGGGCCCTATGTTAAACCATGGTGTAAGCTGGATTGTGGGGAGAGAAATTCATCACAAGATAAACCATAATTGGTTAATTAAAAATTGTTAATAGCCACATCATTACAATCACTCAGGTCAGGATACAGGTAACATATTTGGATACATATTTTCCAATAAAACATACTGTCATTATTTTATTTCAGAGCTGGGGATACTAGCCAAATGCTCTACCACTGAGCCACACCCACAGCCCAGACTGCCTTCTGAACCTCCTCCTAATCTATATCAGAGGAATAAAAACCATAACTTGATACAGCAATGTTACGTAGGTGACATACCATCACACCTCCTAGGGTAGTAGAAGGACAATACTTTTAGCTTTTTTTTTTTCCTTTTTGCTTGAAACAGGGTCTTGCTGTGTTGCCCAGGCTGACCCTGAACTCTTGGACTCAAGCCATCCTGCTGCCTCAGCCTCCCGAGTAGCTGGAACTCCAAGCCCATGACCAGCTGCCCAGCTCAGGACCATATTCTTAGAAGGAGCCCCTTGCCCTGTGATAGAAGCCTCCCTCTGAGCAGGGAGGTGTGCCGGGAGGCGAGGGCCTGGCTTTACGTGAGCAGAGACACATGACAATGTGAGATGGCCCAGGCCAGTGCCCTGCGGGTGTTTTAACTTCCTAAGGTGAGCTTACAGCTCCCGAGGGGGATGTGGGGCAGAGGCAGCAACAAAGAGTTGCCTTCGTTCTAAGAAGAGGGAGGGAAGAAGTTGATAAGTTCTTTCTCAAATTACATGTAAATAATTAGAAATGTAAAATAAATATGAAATGTAAAATTGTCAAAATGTCAAGTACTGGTTTATGCTTGAAATGTAGGCTGGGGATGAGATACACTGTCAAGAGGGGCCACTAAAATAAAGGGTAAATGCTTAGTTTCCATAGGACTTGGCTTGAACTCTGTCATAAGAAGAAGAAATGGTAGAGCTTACCTTTCGGATGTCTTGTACTGTTTCTGAAAAACAAAGAATTTTTTTTCAAGTTTGAAAATTAAAAATATATCTCTTATATTAGCTAAGCACTAATATTTTATAGGACTTCTATGCTTAGTGCTTGTAATTGAAACCCAAAACACTTCTGGGGCATGGGGCCTAATTTTCAAAAATGCCTTTCCATTATATATCCAGTAACACATCCTCCACTATAGTAGGGAAACCACCTTAGGTTATCTGAGTCTCAGGTGTCTCCCCGAATCCTTGAGAGGAACACACCACTTTAGGTTGAAAGGCTTCCAAAGCTTACAAACAAAAATATGTATACTTCTTGGGGAAAAAAATGCCTATGCCCCAAACCATGACAGTCACATAAAGGGGCTGGGTTGTACCTCAGTGGTGTAGTACCTCTGGGTTCAATCCTTGGTACCGTTAAAAAAAAAAAAAAAGAAAGAAAGAAAGAAAGAAAATCACATAAAGATAGGAGAATGTACAAGTCAAGTTTGAGGCATTTTGTTGGTTTTAACCAAAAGATACAGCCTTTATCAACAGGGTCTTCTTGGCCCTGTGCTAAGTAGTGCTACAAATGGAACTGGGGGGAGGTGTCCCTACTCAGTTCTCTAGACACCACTACAGAATGCCTCACCTGTAAGAGTTGAATAGTTACAGAAGAAAAAGCACTTCTCTTCCCATAAAACTTCCCTCAGAGGTCCCCAAACCACTTTTCCAAGTCCCCAAACCACTGCCCTTATCCCACCATGATGCGCAATTGTTGCTTTTACAGGTAGGGATGCACTATGCGACATTTCATTTTCTGCTAAGTAGATATGGACCCTCTTGTTGGCAGACAGAAATCTACTTCCTTCTTTTTAACAGCTGTGGAATAGAATATCCCATCAGAGGCACAGTATACCACAATTTGTTTAAACCACTTCATTAGATGGGAATCTTACATGGTGCTCCATTGCAAGTGCTGCCAAGAACATGAACATACGTAGTTATGTCTAAATGTGGGTGAGTCCTTCTACACGGGCCTAAAGGTAAAATTATGGGGTCAAGGGCAAATGTCCATTTTAAATTTACATGGGTATTGACAAATTCTGCTCTGAAAGGATTGCAAAAATGTATCCCCTTCCACAGTAGTTTCAGAGCACCTATTTCTCTATATCTTTTGGCCAAGGTCATAGTTTCATTTAAATTTATCTCATTTAAATTGATGCTTTTTTGGATTAGTAACATGGGTGACCATTTTTAAATCTTACTGGCAGTTGGTTTTTCTTCTGTGAAGCTGCCCACTTAACATTGATTTCTTTTCTCTTTTTATAAAAAAGGGTCCTTGGTCTCCTCCTTTGGTTGTATGGTATTTTCTCACGATAGGAACATCTGTATATTTTTATGCTTGTCACGATACACTGCAAATAATTTATGTCATCTGACTATATGTTTTATAACGGGACATTTTTGCTTATAGAAATTAATCTTTCTGTGATCTGACCTTCAAACCAGTCCAGCTGTAATTTATCTGCTTGTTTTTTTTTCTTTGCTTTTTGGTGTATTACTTTGAATGAATAAGAAAATGCCAATGTATTTTTGGGACTCACCGCTGGTCTTCAAAACTTTATGTGATCTTGAGGAAGGTTCTGGGAGAAAAATAAAGCCAGCATTATTTGCAAAACCCAATCAAAAATTGTCTTCATACATAAATTACTACTTTATTGACAGGTTACCTGAGCTCTAGTAATTTTCTATCAAATTCACCTAAATTCCCTTTGCTCAGAGTTACTTAGGAGCAAGGAATTCATTGTCGAAATGTTAAGGAATCAGGAGTCCTATCATCATAGGACTAGCATCAAAATGCTACATCACCAACCTACCAACTACTAGAGACTTTCTCAGCTTCAACTACCCCCGTGAGCTGGTAACTTTCAATTTTATATTCTGCGCCAGACGTCTGTCCCAAGTTTCCATCGCAGCAGACTCACCATCTCAATCCCAGCTCACCATCCTTCCAAATCTGCTCCGGATTTCCTCTGGGCTGTCATGGGCCTTGCCCCCCCCCCCCAAGTTAGTGACCAGGACTTTACATTCCTCCTGGTTTTATCCATTACAGTCTTGGGGGCTCCTGAGAGAGTGTCACCCCAGTTACCACTCTCCCAATCCAAGTCCTCATCATCTTTCCCTCAAACTAGCACGACAGTCTCCCTCCTGGTCTCCCTCCTGCCCACTTCACTCTCCACGTGGAGCCAGACTTCTGTCTTTAGAAGGCAAATATTCTGTTCATTGCTTAAAATCCTTCTGTGGCTGCAAAATTCAAACCCTAGGCATGGCCTTCAGGTCCCAACTGCACATCTTGAGCCTGGTCTCCTTCCACCTTCCCCTGCTCCACCCCACTGTCCAGTCAGGCTGAGTGACCAGCAGCCACTGTCTGTCCTCAGGAATGTCGGTGCAGGTCTCAGGGCCTCAGCACATACTACTCTGGCCCAGTCTGCTTCTCAGCCCCAGATTCCATCAGGGGAACTCCCCTCCTCTCTGGGACGCCTTTTCTCTCCTTCTTAGAAAGTTAATCTCTCTCCTTTATCCCTCCACTCTTCCTTCCCTCCCGTGTCACAATGCCATCAGACTGATTGGTGTTTATTCCCAATTTTTTGTCACTCACTCCCACAGTGAGCTCCTTGCAAACAGGAATCACATGCATTATTTTTCCTTGCATTCCATGTCTCCAGCAAGGCATTCAGTAGGTACTCAATAAACACTGATTAAAAAAAAAAAAACAAAAAACCAAGGTCCTTGGGCTAAGCAAACACTGACTGCATGCAGTCTGATGTAGCAAATATGTACTTATATTTTAGGCTGGAATAATCTTTTCAAGTGTCGTTCACAAGATAACAATTTTCATTAGCAACAGCAAACAGGGTTTAAGTAACTACAGATCCATGGTAAGATGCTCTACAAAGCAAAATTAGTTGATATGTTTTCTATTCACAGGAAAAGAGAGCATTAAGGATAAAAGAGTTTAAAATACAGGGTGCAGAGGCTTGTTTTAAGGCAGGCTCAGGTGCAATCAAACGAGCAGTGAGCTCAAAAGGCCTGTCACTGGCAAGGAACTCCCAGTGGCCTGTTAATATCATGTTTTGATCATAACATCCTTTTTTATTCTTCCTGGTGAGCTGCCTTATCCCTGAGCTGCATCCTCAATCCTTTTCATTTCTTATTTTGAGACAAGATCTTGCTAAGTGCTGAGGCTGGCCTCAAACTTGCAATCCTCCTGTCTCAGCCTCCCAAGTTGCTGGAATTACAAAACATCCTATTTACCAGATTTTCTTCTGAGCCGATAGGGTGTAGAACCTTCTCTAGAGCCACAGGATGCTTTTGTCTCTCCCTCAGGGCTGTAACAGAAGCCTGGATGATCTGTAAAGATAACAACAGGCAGAGTGAGGTGCTCTGGGCTCCTTGGAAAATAGTCACATCTTGTTTGAATAATTTATGGATTTTCTTTTTCACCTGACATATCCTACCCCCGTAACTGGCATTCACTGCATCTCAGGTTTTTTCTTACATGCAGGATTCCAGGATGCACTGACTGCTCTCCTGTTCTCTCCCCCTCCTCCGTCTTCCTCTGCCTTCCATTTTTACTCCTTAGCAGAAGGAGCTGTCAATCACCAGCTTTGCCACTCGTCCCTTTATGCCCTGTGGTAGTTGTCCCCAGTGCAGTATTCTTTTTTCTTTTTATAATTTGACAACAATATGCAAAACTGTGAGCAAGTTGCTTCCCTCTCTAGAGGGTTTCTTTTTTAAAAATTTATATATGGCAGAATGCATTACCATTCATATACACATATAGAACACAATTTTTCATATCTCTGGTTGTATACAAAGTATATTTAAACCCATTTGTGCTTCACACATGTACTTAGGATAATAATGTCCATCACATTCCACCATCATTTCTAACCCCAGGTCCCCTCTCTTCCCCTCCCACCCCTCTGCCCTATTAGAGTCCATCTATTCCTCCCACACTCCCCCTCCCTACCCCACTATGAATAGCCTCCTTATATCAGAGAATACATTTGGCATTTGGTTTTTTGGGATTGGCTAACTTCACTTAGCATTATCTCTTCCAACTCCATCTTTTTACGTGCAAATGCCATGATTTTATTCTCTTTTATTGCTGAATAATATTCTATTGTGTATAAATGACACATTTTTTTGACCATTCATCTACTTAAGGGCATCTAGGTTGGTTCCCAGTTTGGCTATTGTGAATTGTGCTGCTATATACATCGATGTGGCTATGTCCCTGCTTTTAAGTCCTTTGGATATAGACCAAGGAGAAGGATAGCTGGGTCAAATGGAGGTTCCATCCCCAATTTTCCAAGGAATCTCCATACTGCTTTCCATATTGGCTGCATCAATTTGCAGTCCCACCAGTAGTGTATGAATGTACCTTTTTCCCCACATCCTCGCTAACACTTTTTGTTGTTTGTATTCATAATAGCTGCCATTCTGACTGGAGTGAGATGAAATCTGAGAGTAGTTTTGATTTGCATTTCTCTAATTGCTAGCAATGATGGAAGCAGGTGGCATCACTGTACCAGACCTTAAACTACACTACAGAGCAATAGTAAAAAACAACAACAACAACAACAACAACAACAACAACAAAACCCCCCAAAAAGCATTGTATTGGCACCAAAACAGACTGGTAGACCAATGGTACAGAATAGAGGACACAGAGACTAACCCATAAAATTACAATTATATTAAACAAAGGCACCAAAAACATGCATTGGAGAAAAGATAGCCTCTTTAACAAATGGTGCTGGGAACACTGGAAATCCATATGCAACAAAATGAAATTAAATCCCTATCTCTCACCATACACAAAACTCAACTCAAAATGGATCAAGGACTTAGGAATAAAACCAGAGACCCTGTGTGCCTAACAGAAGAAAAAGTAGGCCCTAATCTCCATCACGTGGGATTAGGCCCCAACTTCCTTAATAAGACTCCTTTGGTGCAAGAATTAAAATCAAGAATCAATAAATGGGATGGATTCAAACTAAAAAGTTTCTTCCCAGCAAAAGAAACAATCTCTGAAGTGAATGGAGAGCCTGCATCTTAGGAGCAAATCTTTACCCCTCACACATCAGATACAGCACTAATCTCTAGGGTATATAAAGAACTCAAAAAGCTAAGCACCAAAAACACAAATAACCCAATCAATAAATGGGCCAAGGACTCCAGTGGAGTATTCTTAAAAACGTTTACAGACATTGTTCCTTTAAGCACCTGGTGAAAGATTTAGATCCAGAAAAGGAATTTTCATTGAGTTCATGTGTTTCTGCCCCTGCGAGGCAGCACACAGACTCTGGATTAAGAAACTCTGGTCTAATCCTAAGGACACGCAGCATATCCAGTGACTGATCATCTGCACCTTGAAGGCCAGCACTCTGGGTACAAAGCCATAAACTGGTGTTCCTCAAATTAGAGGACCCCAAAGGCCACATGCACATCTTCAGAGCTGCAGGTAACATTAACTCAAGGGAGGTCATCTGGTCCAATGGACTGGCCTCCCCAATCATACTGCCAAGTCCAAACTCAGTAGGACGGGGGGTGGGGTAGGGAGCAGAGAGATGCTGTTTTCTTACAAATGACACTTTATAAACTCTTCATAAGAGAGAAAATGTGACGATACAAGTAAGGAACATTTCAATTCATGTTAAGGACATAAAACTTACGAATGGCATCCATTTCAAGTATTGCTTGCTTGGCCTGAAAGAGAAAGTGTAGCTGTAATTGCAAGTACTATTATTATTTTTCTTTAATCTACTAATTCTAATACAGTTCTTATCCCATCTGAATAAAGAAATTAGAAAAAGCTTTAAATGACTGTTTCTTGCAGACATTAAAACATAGATCAGGAGCTCAGGGAATTCAATGAGATAAATGCCCTCATGGGCACCGTAGATGCTGCCCAACTGAGACTCCAGAGCTAGGGCTGACCCCCCCCAGCACCCCGCCAATCTGCAAAAATAGATGGAGAAAGGAAGAGTTGGTTTTAAGCCTGGTTGATCATCAGGAATCATTCACTGGGGAGCTGATAAAGAAAAGTATACTCCTGCGACCCATAGTGGTCTGCCGAATCAAAAGCCCAAGGCCCAGAGCCTGGCATCTATAGAACACCAGCCCTCCCCATGCCACTGGTGGTCCCTAGAATCACAGTCTCCCTCAGTGTCCCATTCCCAGCATGCCCCAAAGGTACAAAAACTGATGGATACTCAAGTCCCTTATATGAAGTGGTAAGTATTTGCATATAACCCCACACATCCTCCCGTAAACTTTAAACCACTTCTAGATTACTTATGATCCCTAATCCAAAATAAGTGCTATGGAAATAGTTATATAACTATTCATTAGGGAATAATGAAAAGGAAAAAAAGTCTAAATGTTCAGTGTAGCCGTAAATTTTTTCCTAACATTTTTTTTATTTGCATTTGGTTGGATCTGCAGATGTGGAAGCCCTGTTGTTGGTGGGTGGGGGGCTGTCTATTTTTAGTTGATTGGAATATGGCTGCTGGAGTTTGCTCTCACTGCATCTCTCCTCCCAAATGCTGCATGGTGAACATCAGGTTTCTTGCCCTGATTCCCTTCACCTTCCATCTCTTCTGGGTGCTCCAGGCAGGAGGAAAGAGGTACAGTGTGGAGTCAAGGTGCTGAGGGTCACTGTGATCCCAGCTCGGGCACACAGCCAGGTGGTGGGTGCTGTTATCTCTGGCTGAGCTTCCTCCACTGTCAGATGGGATGGCAGAGGGACCCATCAGGTGGAGCTACATTAACGTCGGGCACAGGCACTCACCTGCCTGCTGCTGCTGCCCTCCTGGGGGGCCGTGTCCAGTGACCTGCTGCTCCACTTAGCCCTCCCTCTCCAACACACTTTCTGAGGGCTAATGCTTTGGGGGTTTCTTTTTGCTATTATTATTGCCACATGTTATGGATGTTTAGGGTGTTATAAAAAGGCAAGCTGATTTTCTTAGCCAATTTGCCTAAGAATTCAAAGAAAAGTAATCAGTTTAGATGGCCTTTTAGCCTCTTTGGTGTCATTTTTTTTCTCAAGGGAAATGTCACTTAACCTATAAAACTATGATAAAATGACTCAAAATAATATCACTCCTACTTTCTGAAATCTTTGATATTATAAAAATATTTAGGCTAAATGATAATCTTATTTAGTTTAAGAAAGTGAAGGAAGAGAGAGAGAGAGAGAGGCCTTAACACAGTCACCTTGGCTTTGAGAAAACAAATATTTGGAATTTTGTTATGTTGATATTTCTGTTTTAAATTTAGAATTTGAGATTACCAGTTGGATTTTTTTTATTGGTTATTCAAAACATTACAAAGATTGCAGAATCACATCGGTTACACACCCACATTTTTACATAATGCCCTATTAGTAACTGTTGTATTCTGCTACCTTTCCTATCCCCTACTATCCCCCCTCCCTCCCCTCCCATCTTCTCTCTCTACCCCATCTACTGTAATTCATTTCTCTCCTTATTTTTTTTCCCATTCCCCTCACAACCTCTTATATGTAATTTTGAATAACAATGAGGGTCTCCTTCCATTTCCATGCACCAGTTGGAATTAAATTTCAAATATAAGCGATAGCTCAATTTCTGGAAAGCATGTTTCTAGAACCATGTTAATATATGAAATGCAAAATTATTAATTTTTAATTAATAATTAATTATTAATTAATTTGGATAAGAGTTCAGTCTATATAACATCTAGATGAATGAGAATGGGGCTACTTCCAGGAAATTCCCTGGTATCTGTAATCCTGAACAAAGTATCCCTCCCCCAATCTTGACATTTAATTTCAAAAAAGTACTATTCCCAGGATTTCCACTAGGTGTCAGTCAAGGACCATCATGGAATTAAAGGAGTGGGTGGAGGCTGGGAGGAGTTAAACTAATGAATTTCCAAAAGCTGTGTTGACACTTAGATCAGTGATACATTTTTTACCTAAAATGCCCCATTATACATTTATTTTATTTTGTAGAAATACATTTTGAAAGCTTTAAGAAAACAATTTAAGAAATAGTCTTGATGAAAGATGTAGCTTTCATCAAAAAGTTCAACGTAATCCTTTTATTTGTACGATAACATTACAGTGGATTAAGTATATGAAATAAGTGTATTTTTACCACCCGTGGGAACACTATGGTTAAGAAGTTCCTTGCAGGCAGACAGACCTTGGTCTGAGTCTGAGTTTAGTCATGTACTCGTGGTAAAACTTGCACAACTTAATGTCTCTGAACCTCTGTTTTTAGTTCTCTTGAATTGGACTTATTTCATAAGGTGTTTTGCTGAGGGTGAAATAAGATACAGCACAGTGTATATGTGATCAGTGAGTTGTAACTTGAAAAAATTTAGATTCTAAATGGATCAACAACTTAGGTGAGAAATACAATTCAACTATGGCTATGTCCAACTGGTAACACATAGAGGCAAAAGGGCCAGGGGCACACACACGTGTGTAGGAGAAAGGGACAGGTATGTAGGCTAGTCTGGTTTTGTAATGGTCTATAATTGCCTTTCAGAATTTTCTTAAGCAACTTGGATTTCTCAGGAGACTTGTCATCAACAGGTGGGGCATGGGACACAGGCTGCCATTACTCAGAGGGCCTCCAGGCCAGCAACCCCGGGACCAGCCCGTGAAGCAACTGCAGTCACCCCTCTGCCCGAACTCCCCTGCATCTCATAATCCCCCGATGAAATGAAACTCCCACCGCAGTCCACGTACACACCTCTGCAAGTTCATTTCCTGAGTAATTGGGGCTGGCGGCCCCTGAGGACTAACTTCACAAGCTTTTCAAAATACACAGAGGGCAAAACAGGCTCTCAGAGCTCAGTCCTCCTGATTTCCCACCCAGGTCCACTCCCATGATTATGGCCCCACTCTCTGCCCCACCTCCCTCCCACTGTGGACCATTCCACCCTCTACCTGGCTAAGCGGTAATGACACTCACCCCTGCACCATAGTCCCTTGGCTACTTTATCTCTAGAAGCTTTTCCTTCCCCAAGTCCACCCACTGTTCTCTGCCTCGCTCATCTTTCTTCTTCTTGGTTCAGAAAACATGTTTCCAACCCTTCCCAAGACTAGCTCCTATTGCTGCGCTGACGGGCCTATTGTTCCCACCTGCCCAGTTCTCACCCCAACAAACATCCTTCTCCTGGCCTTACTGTCTCCTGTTTCCCTTCCTATCCCCTGCAGCCCTCTTATCCACATGGTATCTTTGTGTGTGTGTGTGTGTGTGTGTGTGTGTGTGAGGGAGGTACTCCGGGTTGAACCCAGGTGCCTTCTACCACTGAGCTATATCCCAGCCCTTTTTATTTTCAGACAAGGTCTTCCTACCTGGTGAGGCTGGCCTCAAACTTGTGGTCCTCCTGCCTCAGCCTCCTGTGCCACTGCATCTGTACTTTGCTTTGGCTTTTCCCCAAACTACCAGCTTTTTCCTTTTCTGACCTTTGTGAAGTGAAAAAGCGATACCCGGTCTGTTCCTCATTTCACCCTTACTTTTTGACCCACTCAGACCTTTTCTTCTTAGCTGCCAACCCTAAAAATCTGTCTTTCCATTTGAATCATCTGACCTCTGCAAGACTGTTCTCCATTCTCTGTCTGTGAGATTCACCTTCCTTTGCTGGCGCAATGCCTTTCCCTGCTTCTCTTACGGCCCCTTTTTCTTTTTCTGTGCTTCAGATCCGCCTCCCCTTTTAGACCACTCACTGGGATTCCCGAGGGGCCTTCTTTCCTCTGCACACTTTTGTGAACCATCTTAGACCTTCCATTACTGTCTCGCCTAACCCTCGGCTCCCAGAACCCGAATTTCTACCTGCAAGGGTCCTGCCTCCCCTGCCCCTCAACTCCCATGGAACCAGTTCTCCCTGCCTCCCAGCTTGCTGGGTGCTCCGGCGCCATGCTCCTGGTGCAGGTCACGATTGAAGCTGAATCTCAGTGGCCAACGCCCGCTCCTCTGCCTCACAAGCTGCCTCACCTCTCTCCCTCTGTGGCCACCACAGCCCCTGCTCCTCATCTCACCATGCAGACTCCATGGTGCATGGTCCAAAGTCCTCCCTCGGCCCACTGAGCCTCCCAGCCTCACCTGCTATCCTGACCCTGAGAGCTTGGCCCTCCCGGGCAGGCAGCGCCTCTGGGCCCTGAGCACAGTGCCCCGTTCTCTCCTGCTTGTTTACACGTCCTTTCAGCCTGGTTTCCCTTTTCCTTTCCCCTCACTTATGAAAATACTCCTCACCCTTCAAGAATGAAGTAAAAGGCACTTCCTCTCCCCACTGAAATGGACACTGTCCTTCCGTGACACCTGGCTAACAGTGCCATGATTTCACCATGTTGAGCAAACCGATCAGGGGTTACAGGGCCAGCTGTCCCTGCTCTGAGTACACTCACTGCCATGCCTGGGGCTCGTTTCTCTGGGTGCTGTTCCCATAGCACCTAGTGGTCTTTCCTGTGTGGCCGGTTCTTAGTGCCCCTCTGAGTATTTCTCATACTCTATTTTTTTTTT